TACCTTTCTACATTAGTCAACATGAATACGGTTCAGTGCAAGCGATGTATTGACCGGTTTCAGTTATATCTTCGTTAGATATACGTATATTCCGGATAGATATAATCGAAAACGGAAAAGAATACTGTAAAGATATCCATTTTCATCCTTACCTTTTTTTACATTTGTCGCAATGGGCACAGTTCATGCTGCTGGGCGAGATGGCCAGTTGTGCTCTGTGGAGAAGCGGTGAGCAAGATGAGCAAATTCTGCTGCTGACTCTGACATGCCCAAGGAGAGGAGGAGGAAGGGGTCCGCAAGGCGAGCCTAAATAGAGAACGTTTCGGCGAAGGAAAGGAACAAATGCAAGGACTCTGCTGTGCGAAGAGACATTTCAAATAACATGCACACAAGGAGAGCAGAGTGCGCGGCAGCCTGAACTGATAGCAGGCAATAATACAGGGAGAGGCCTTCGGAATCGAGCATCCTGCTGGCCTTAAATTGTATGTTCCCAACTCCGGCGGACCTGAAGTGTACGATGACAAGCATATTCAAGATTGGACTTTTTTATCATGACTTTAGTATATTTTCTTAATAGAACCATCAAGGGAAGTTTTAAATCTATATTTCAGTTTTTAGGCAGTTTAGTTGTTTAGCCTCTTCCTTTTTTCCATTATCTTAATATAACGTTTTCCATATACGTTAGAATACTGCGGAATATCTAATTGACCCCCCCAAAAAAAAAAAAAAAACTATTACGAAAAAAAAACATCCACGCCCCGCCACCTTGCATCACGTTTCAACGCGCCAAACACCAACGGCATTAATTTCATGGCGACTGCCTCCCCCGCCCGCACGTAGCGGCGAGCCAAACCAAAGGCCTCGCGGCATCCCTGCGGCCCTGAAGGCGACCCGAAGCAAGTTCCTATAAGTTTTAGACCTTGACCCGAAACACCGACCGAATGGGGCTCCCGAACGGCCCTCCGACCCTGCGTGGGCGGAAGTTAGGTCTGTGTATAGATCTTGTCGGCAAGGAACCTCTCGGCCAAGCGAAACGGGCGTCGCGAGCTCTCAGCGAAGGATCCAGTCCTGCTGCAGGACTTCGAGGACGCACGCCCGTCGGAAGAGCCTGGGCGTCTGTTGGTGCTTCTTCGCGCCCTTTGGACGCACTCATGCGGCAGGAGATATGAAGAGCTGCGGACGAGGCTCAGCTGCGGCCTCCCCCGCCGTCCGTCTTTTCTGGATAAGCTTCAGCGCTGCGTGCCCATAGTGGCGAGAATGCCCAGCGCTGCATGCCCTTGATGACCAGAATGCCCAGCGCTGCATGCCCATAATGGCTGGCATGACCTAAAAAGTCTTAAAAGGAAAAACACCATATTTCTCCCCTCTGCTCTTACACTTCGTCGTCATCACAGTCATCAATTACATTATAACATGTCCCTATCTGCATCGCACTGCAAAGGGACACAACGTTAAACGTACCATTATGAAAATACCCGAGACTGTTGATGCTAACTAAAGAAAAGTTTTCGCAAGCTCCCTGGCCGTTGCCGTAATATAGCTGCAATGTTGATAAGCAGATCCGAACTGACTTTACCAAAGGAATGTTAATAATAACGTTAATAATAAAAATAATAATAACAATGATAATGATAATAATAATAATGAGAATAATAACATAATAATAATGATAATAATGACAACAGCAATAATGAAAAAATAACTAATAATGATAATAATAATAACTAGAAGCACTCAGAGAGCAGATACCTACGCCAAGACAACAGGGTCTATGATGCAATGATAATATTCAAGAAAAATTACATTAAAATCACCTCTTTCTCAAGTACACCGGTGACCTGTAAATATAAATATAATATAAATGATGTAATAATTAAAATAAATCCTGGATCCGGATCACCACCAAAATTTAATGGTCTAAGATAGGCCAAAATACACCTTTGGTAAAATTTTCATAAAAATCTATCCATAAATTTTTGAGGTATCTATTTATTAACCTTAGCTACCAAATGCATAATCTTGGCGGAGGTAATAATAATGACAATGATGGTAATGATAATGATAACAATAGTGATAATAATGATAAGAAAATGGTAATGATGATCGTCATCATGACAATCATTATCATCATCACTATTTTTATTATGATCAACATAGCAGTAACATCATAATAATGATAGTGCTGCAGAAGGATATCAACTCGGGCTCATTTCAGCCGAGGGAACTTTGCCATGGACTCTGAGCTCACTTCCGGCGTTCCCGCGGCTGCTCGGCGAGGAGTGAAGAGCGCCCAAGGACACTCAAAGGATGCTATTGCTGCCGTAGGACCAGAACCCCAGGACCCCGCCCCCTGCCAGACGAGGACCCTTCCCCCTGAGCCGAGACCCCTCCCCCACTGGGTGAAGACCCCTCCCCCATTGGGCTAAGACCCTCTCCCCACAGAACCCTTCCCTCCCTGCTACCCCAAAAAAGTACCACGTCATGGTGATACCAAGTTTCT